GAACAAGAAGATTCATGGTAAGAAATACCTTATAAGAAGAAGGTATTCAAAACCGCAAATACAGGAATCATGCAAACATCTAAAGAAGTGATGGATGCAATCCACAAGAATGAAAATTATCTTGAGATTGGGGCATGTTACCCAATCAATATGTTATTTTGAAACATAATGAGAAAACGATTTTCATAGTTTCTCATTTTATCTTTTCTAAAATGAAATTGTTGAAAAGTAAGAAAACGATTTTCTTAGTTTTTTTACTTAGTAAACTATTTCCAACAACCTTATCTTGAGATTGGGGCATGTTACCCAATCAACATATTATTTTGAAATATAATAAGAAAACGATTTCCATAGTTTCTCATTCAATCTTTTCTAAAAATGAAATTGTTGAAAAGTAAGAAAACGATTTCCTTAGTTTTTTACTTAGTAAACTATTTCCCACATCTGTAAGTCCTGTAGTGCATGATGTTTCCAAAAAGCTTTCGGGAGCTTTGTGATGTTTTCAAACCCTCAGGGTCATCTGTAAGTCCTGCAGTGCATGATGTTTCCAAAAAGCATTCGGGAGCTTTTTGATGTTTTCAAACCCTCAGGGTCATCTGTAAGTCCTGCAGTGCATGATGTTTCCAAAAAGCCTTCGGGAGCTTTTTGATGTTTTCAAACCCTCAGGGTCATCTGTAAGTCCTGCAGTGCATGATGTTTCCAAAAAGCCTTCGGGAGCTTTTTGATGTTTTCAAACCCTCAGGGTCATCTGTAAGTCCTGCGGTGCATGATGTTTCTAAAAAGCCTTCGGGAGCTTTTTGATGTTTTCAAAGCCTCAGGGTCATCTGTAAGTCCTGCAGTGCATGATGTTTCCAAAAAGCCTTCGGGAGCTTTTTGATGTTTTTAAACCCTCAGGGTCATTCATAAGACCTCTGGGCAGAATGTTTTCAATATTTCCATATTACTTAAAATAAGCCGAATGAAAAATTATTGTCTTTTTCGTCTTTGCTCTATTCTTGTTAACACAAGAATGAGCAAAGAGGGGTATCTGTAGACACTAATTTTTCAATTTCATTAAAATTATTTTTAATTATTATTATTATTATTATTAAAATTATTATTATTATTAATATATATATATATATATATTACAAGCCCAAAGGACCCGGAGGCCCATTTTACAAGCCCACAACCCGAAGCCCGTTTACAATTCCAATCAACTGGCTCAGCTAAACCCTAAACCTAATTTAGGGTTTGTATCATCTCTAGCCGCCTCATCATCACAGTCGTTGGATCTGAGAGATCCAACGGTCCACAGGAGGTCCAACACGATGCATCTAGGGTTTCTAAACCCTAGTTTCTACGTGGCCACGTCCCAGCCGCCGCTCCAAAGTTCCAGCCGCCCCACGCCAGTTGGAATCTCCACGTTGACGCTTCAGCTACCACCACGCCTCGCCACCACCGAAAGATCCAGAAGACCCAGATGGCCGCCCACGTTGCTGCTCTAAGGGTGAGTCACCGCCATAGCTTGGTGACTCACCGAAGATCGCCTTATTATACGGTCCGACGAGAGCCTCATCGAGGCCTATAAAACCGAACCTGTAAAAACAAAGAAAAGGACACAGCAAACAGAAACGGAAAGACAGAGAGCAGAAAAACGGGGAGAAGACAGAGAGACGACAACCAACAGAGAGCCACAAAAAAAACAAAAACAAAAAACAAAAAACAAAGAAAGAAGAAAGAAACTTACCCTTGGAGCCTTGACCATCACCGGAAGCACTAAACATCGCCGGAGAACAGAAAATACCGAAGGTATTTTCATAGATCTACTCCGATTAGGAGTCTTTTTGGGGAAACAAAGGTCGGAATCGACCTTGGGGAAATTAGGGCTGTATTTTAGTGTAAAAAAAAATTCCCGGCCACCGGATGCGGTGGCCGGCGGTGGGGTTTACGGCGGCAGACGGCTGCCGCCCGGTGACCGGCTTCCCTCCGATGAGGGAAGCTAGAGAGAGGGGAGAGCGTTTATCATTCTCTCTCAGTTAGAGAGAGAATGATAAGAGAGCAAATGAGAGAGCTGGCCCGAAGGGCCAGCCGTTTCGGGCTTAAATAGCCCTTCCCGAACGACGTCGTTTTGGGGAGGGCTATTTGTGTAATTTTTAAATGTTAAACCCTATCCGTAGTCCCTCTATTTTATATGTTTTACATTTTAGTCACTGAAACTAACTTCTGAATGTTCTAATTCAGTCTTCGAATTTTATTTATTTATATTTTAGCCATTAACCGTATTAATAATATATTTAAGATAAATATCATATTTAGTCCTTTAATTTTAATAATTAATATTTTAATCCCGAGTATATATTTTTAATTTATTTTAATTTGATATATGAATTTTATATAATTTTATTTTAGTCACTAAATTAATAAATAGGAAGAATAGCATGTTTAGTCACTCAAATTTTAAATAATTAATTATAAATTAGGTATTTAATTCTATTAAGTTACAATTTAGTCACTAATTTCAATTTTATTTATTACAAGTTTTATTTATTTTAAATATATAGTTTTAATTTTGTTCATTATATGTTAATTTTATATGTTTACTTTTAATTATTATTACTATTATTATTATTATTTAGCCATAAATATATTTATAATATTTATTTTATTTATTAAAATCTTATTTAATTACTTTTAACTTATTTTAATCCTGTTTTAATATTTATTTATTTTTCAATATTAAGAAATGACAGTCTTAAAACAACTGGATGTCCATTTTCTGATATTTTTAAATAAATAAATATCCTATTTTATAAATTATATATTAATTGTTTTAATTATTTATTTATTTTTTAATATCGAGAAAAAGAGCTGTCTTAAAGTACCTAGAAGTCCTTTTCTGATATTTCTAAATAAATAAATATTTTATTTATAAATATATATAAATTAATATATTTTTTCATAATCATAATTTTGAAATAATAGGATTATAAATTAAATATATTTTGAATTTTTAAATTTCTAATAATAGAGACAATTTATAATTAAAAAGTACCAATTTTGGGCGTTGTAGGGGTGCTAATCCTTCCCTAAACGTAACCGACCACGAATCCCTTTTTATTATTAAAAAGAACGAATTTTTGGTTAAAACGCAGATCAGTTTATCTTTTAATTGATGTTTTCTTAAAAACTTTTTTAAAAGATATTTTTTAGGTATTCGACCTACATGACCCAAAAGGCCGATGGCGACTCCTAAATTATTTTCAAAACCATTTATTCACATCACTTTTCCCGCCAAGTAATAAATATTTCGTGCCCGGACGAAAACCGGTTACGACATAACCCATGACAAATTTTCTGAATGAACAGGGGATATGGCTGCATCAGCAAGATGTTATGTTGATGAGCAAGGAACTCAGTCACTCACAAGATGTTATCTACTCCAAGCGCGTTCTTTTGCCATAGTTGATCATTTGTTGAGATGGTTCTTGACCGGTTTGGATTGTATGCCAAGGTGCTAATGAGGCTTCCCTGGATACATCTAGGTGATAACCCTCCTCTTTTGCTAATGTGATGAGATACTACAGTCTGCTGTTTGTACCTAGTATGGTCAGTGTGTCCGTAGGAGGATAGTTGACTTAAATAACATAAGTCAAACCAAAATGGTCTTCAAGATTGCTTCTTTTTGTTGTTTCATTCTGATTGATTAATGGGGATGTCATTCTATGATTGTCTATACTTCTTTTAGAGCCATATCTTGGATCTTCCATGAGATCTTGTTGGCATTATGCATATGATTTATTCAAATGCTCTTCACCTTTTCTTTGATTAGTTTTAGTTTTTGTGGAAATTTTGTTACTTCTTGTTCTCTCTGTGAAGACTGAGGATGACTTGATGAGGTCAATCATCAATAGATGCCTTCTCTTTGCCTCATAGATATGGCAGTAATCATCAATTTACCACCACCACTTTTAGTTCACTTGTTCCCTGATCATCTACCTTTCTTTGTTGGGGTGGGGGGTGGGGGATCTTTTGTTATAGTTAACACTATAATGTGATCCCTCCACTTCTTATATCATAGTAGAGCCTTAATCTTTGTAGCATTAAGCAAAGATAGAACCCAGATCAACAAGTGACAATTAAGGCTTGCTGTTGAAAACGGAGGTCTCGTAAGATCATATACTACACGATAAACTGGATATGCATCTAGCATGGTCTAAATCATAAAGCAGGAGGCTATATGATGGGTTTCAGTAGCTTCAGCGGAATCATTATTTGGACGAGAAATATGAACCAGAAAGAACCTTAACGCTAAATAGTCCAACCCAAGATAAATGCTGGGATGAACAATGAAGTCTGCATTACTAAAGACCAAAGGAATGAACTTTAAGCACCAATTTATCAACAAATAACCTGTCACACATGCTCGGCTTGTGTCACAGTCCAAGAGTTTAGGCAATGCCGTAGTGTGCCTGAAACTGCCACCGCCATTGAGCGCAAGAGCTCGAGTCTTGACCCACACATCATCTTGCAGTCGTTATATAGAAGTATATTTTTTAAGAAAGGCCCAATCCATGGCCAATTCGCTGCTTCTGACCCTGAAAGTTTTCCTCTTTTAACTTCAAAATTAAACAATTTCCGATCTTCACCCACTTTGATTGTCCACTGAAATTTTGCTGATATATTATTAGAGTTGTAAATGAACATAACATTTGGTGAACCATTTCGTATGATATTCATTTGTTAAAATAAAACAAAAATATAAACAAAATTTTATTTTCATTTAATAAAAAAAACGAACATGAACATAGGTTTATTCGGTTCGTTTATGTTCGCAAACAACCTCGAAGGACCATTCATCTATTATAGCGATTACACACTATTATAATTCTAATTGGTTATTTTATTTTATATTTTCCAACAGTTCCATAGCATCATTTCTTCCTTGTGTGTTTAATGGCAGTTCGATGTTTTTAACATATTATATTTATGTGAGTGACGAATTAAGGTTAAGTTTAAGGAGCCTCGGAGTGTTAGAAAATTGGAAATCGAGCCTGAGAAATGGCAAATTTTAACTAGCTATGATATATAATAATCAAACTGTTTAATACACAATAGTTTGGAAAAATGCTTACAGTTGAGGCATGCGAGGAATTCGAGGCTCCTTTGGTTTTGCTGGACCACCTTGGCGCAGGGTTTGTTTAAAGTACTCGGATTCTGAGTAACTGATTAGTGCGAAGGAGATACAAATCAAATGGAGTAAAAGATAAATGATAACACAAATCAATTAGACTGCTGAAATAATCAACTTACTTCCGCTTCCGCTCTCTTTTTGGGGGTTCAAACCAGTTTTCACTCACAATCTTCTTGAAGTCAACCATGTTCTCATCCTTTATCAAGAAAACAAAAAGTTTCAACCATAAATAAAAGGGCACTGTTAAAGGACCAGGTTTAGCAAAAACCAAACAGAAAGATTAGGCACAAAGAGTAGTGTTTTCACCTGTTCATCATCAAAGTCATACAATTCAGGATCTACAGAAAAAGAACAATGTTAGTGGCTGAAAACTGAATTCACAAGCAAACTAAGAGCAAAAGAGGTATACTATCACCCATCTTGAATTTAATTGCATCCTCAGTAAATTTCTTCATCTTGGCATCAAGTTCAGCCGTTGCAGCTTCTCCTTTGGCAATGATTCTATCAATGTCTTCATCTGTAATTGTGGTATCCTTGGAGCTGAAATGGTTCAGCTCCAAACCTCACCATTTGAAGCAACTCATCTTTGTTAACAGCTGCACAAAACAAGATACTGAATGCTACCAGATAGATTCAATGAATTATTGCATCAAGCAAAACAGTAGAACTCTAAAGAAACTTACTCTTCTGTTCTGCTAATCGTCCATGTTGAATGACCAGAGCATCTAGCGCAAGCTTCTTATAGGCCCTCTCTGTAACCCCCTAGACCCGGCCTATGCGTTTCGACTAAGTCTAGTGGATCACATTATAATTATTAAAGACATTTTTCGCAACCGTTATTCCATCAATATAAAATCACATTATAAATAACATGAAATTATAAACAATTTATACTATCAAAATCCAACTCGTAAATATAGTACAAATAAATAATAATTTAATTTAAAACATGTCTTCAAATTCAAAATCACAATAAACCGAGCAGTAGTAGCAAAAGTGTTATCATTATAAAATCCGATATTTTAAAATAAGGTCCATGTCACCAAAATAAACTCAACTTGCCAGATAAAAACATTACAATCTGATTTACTTCAAGAGATATGTTAATCCTCCAAGTGCTCGAACCAAGGTATCTACCCAACAGTATCTGAAAGGGGGAAAACATTTTCAAAAGGTGAGCTAGGCTCAGTGTGTCCCAACATTTCCATAAAATCACAATAGGTACAAATCATAGTCCAGTAATCTCACAAATTCGTAAAAGAGTTTAACTTTTTGAAAATCATAGTTTAAACCCTTTTCTGGTACACCATCAGTAGTTCCCAAAATTATTTTCCATATAGCTTACTTTATGCACATAGCAAAAAGAAAGCCGACTTAAGGATAGGCTCTGAAGCTTGTATCCTTAAGCCCAAGTCAATAAGTCTATATAGCTTACCCTAAGCACACAGCAAAGGAAAGCCGACCTAATGAAACATCTTGGGGCCCTCAAGAGTCACATTAGGCCCAGTTAGCTTGATCAGAGCTATTCCATCGTATTTCAATTCCAAAATTCAATTGCACCGTGACATAAATTCCATAAATTCAAAAACATGGTAATCATATACCATTTCAAAACAAAAATTAGATAGCAGCCATATTCCATAAATTGTCACATTAAATTGGTGCATCCATAAAACAATAGCCAATGAATTCGGTGTACCACGTATTAAAACCAATAAAACAGTTCAATAACAAGTAGGGAACACACCTCGACAATAGATTCAAATAACAAATCTACTGATTGCTGGTTTCACCACGCTCTGCTACAGTTTTCGAACGGGTGAATACTGGCACACGTGGTTTAACTGATCTAGAAGAGCTGGGTCGAGCTGTCGAACGATCCGGAGAGTCTCTTGTACCTTCAAACAATAATATTTATCAGTCTCAAATCCTATTTAATTGTTGAAAGCTAAACTTCTTAAGTATATACGCATTTTTCGGGTTTGACTATCAATTTGAGGTATTTCGAGTCTGAATTTGGCCAAACGGATTGCGGAATCTGAATCAGGGCGTCGAAAAACATAAAGTATGACTTTTCGAAAATTCAAATTCTTGGTCAAAGTCAAAGTCAACCACTTTGACCGTAGATTTGGAGACCTTCAGATTCGAATTTGACAAAACGGACCACGGAAACGGATTCGGCACGTCGAAAACTATCAGGATAGGTATACTCGGAAAAGATTAACGGTCGTTTAATGCTCGGTCAAAGCCATTTTAAGTTTTGGTCAAAGAAAGTCAACGGTCAACGATCAACGGTCGGGTCGGGTCGGGTCAACGGTCGGGTCGCGTCGGGTCAACGGTCGGGTCGGGTCAGACCAGTCAAACCGGTCAGAACCGGTTGAAAACCGGTTAAACCGGTTTCCAGCAGCCACTCGCCCTGCGACGGCGCGTGTGGCGCGTGAGGCGTCCTCCGGGGCCCTAAAAATCCCGGAAAAATTTCTAAAAATTATTTTGAGCGATTTCAAGATACTTACAACGATCGGTTCAAATTTTTGAACGGCGGAGAGCTCGATTTCAAATCGGCCGAATCTTTGACTGCACCACCTCCTCACGCGCCTCCGTCTACGGCAGACAAGGTTGACACCGGTGAACTCGGAACGGTACAAGGAACACGATGGTGCGGGAGGTGTCGTAAACGGAGCAACGATCAGCGGTGAATTTAAGATTTCCTCGGCGATAGAGCTAACAAAACTGTCGCTACTTTGACTGGAAATTCCCGACGTTTGGCCGCGTTTCGCTTCAATTAATTTGAAGGGTTTGTTCCTCGCTCGATGATGAATACAACAGTGGGTTTAAAACGATGATCGGAATTTGGACGGCGTCGGAATCAGAGTTGGAAACTGCGTATGAGAAAGGAAAATTGGGAGCATTTTGGTTCTGAAAATCAGAACCAAATGTACGCTTATAATCAAACCTGCCGACAGTTTTAGGGTAAATTCAAGGCTTGATCCTTGGATTTCCTTCACTTCTAAAATGGCCTATAAACTCTCATAAATTTTGATTTAGTCACCAACAATTTACCAATTTTCACAATTAACCTCTAAAATTTCAATTAAATATTATTTTGTAAATATTCGGGTTGTTACACTCTCTATCTCCTTTTCCTCAATAGTATACTGTTTCATGGTAAGAAACAAATAAGTCTACCCCATCATAGCCTAACTTCTCAACAAGCATAAAAAAACAATTTTCGGACCTCTGTGCAAAAGCGGAACACTTGAACTTCCGTCTCTTGGTCAATCCTATGAGCACGATCCTGTGCTTGCGAATCAACTTGTGGGTTCCTGCACAATTGTCATAGCATTACAATTCCAAAAAGGAACAAAACACATGATAAAAATCGGTTTATGCTTACCAGTCACTATCATAAAGGATGGCAACATCTTCTGTAGCAAGATTAACACCAAGGTCAGTAGCAAACATACATGTCCGTGCGAGCAATGGCACCACATCCGAAAGAGTACGTGCCTCTACATCCAATTTAGTAATTTATGTGAAAAAAAAGCTATACTGTGGTTTTAAATGTTTCTCAAATTTTCTGTATCAGGCAATCTTTTGCATCCGCATCAGCTGACAACATTAAGAAATTCAGTCTTCCAAAGGGAGAATTCTTACACAATATGCTGTAAGTAAAGCCATTTTACTTCCATGCTTGAGTTCTGGACATGTGCTTGTCCGTATTTTTAACAAACTAACATAGTTCGTTGTTTGTCTTTCCGGAGCAGCTCTCAGCAGAAGATTATAATTAACACCAGGGCTGTCGATGAGGAAGGCGTAATGGCTACAGGAGGTACTTATAAAATTTTATATGCATAATTGTATCAAACCAAAGTTCATATATCACCAACGGAATTAGGATCAAACAATGAGAGACACTAATATAATTAGTTCTAAAACAAGTATCTATTAATTATTTAAATTTAAAAATCAGGAAACAATTATTTATACTTACAAAGACCTAAATTACGATTGAGTTTAAAAAAAAAAGGATTAAGGGCACGCCCTTGCCATTGCCAAGACCCATTTGGCTCTATCATTTTGCTCACTGGATCAAAATTTATCTCAATAAAAAAGGCTAAATTAACTATTTGATCTAATCAATTAGGTTATTGTAAGTAAAGAGAGTGAATCTTAAATTTAAATTAGTAGAGGGACTGAAACCATAGTTTCACCTAGTTTTTTTTTGTCTATCAATCTGATATAATGTGGTAATGACAGTTGAATGTAATTACCAAACAAAAGCTTCAGTCACACCGACCAACTAGAACGGCGGAGAGCGATTATACCGCGCCAATTTTCATGCAAAGAAACCCTACGGAAGCGGCGAACTTGCAACAAATGCTCCCCTTTTCCTCACTCTTGGAATCATTCAAATTCGATCCAAAATCAAAGCCATCGATCCCCAGTTTTAAATTCAATCCCACCACTTCCCCCCCTCTTCTTTTTATCACCAAAAAACCAAAAATAATGGCGTCCGAACTGACTCACAGAAACCAGAAACCACAATCGCCAACTCTAACTCCACGAACCTCAACCAACCCTTCAACCCCCGCCGAAAACTGGAAAACCCCATTCCTTTACATGGCTCAGAAACAGCGTTTCTTCTTCGTTCTCGTCGGAATCGCCATCGCCGCTCTGTTTTTCAACTCGTTCCCCATCTCGACGTCGTCGAACGGCGACGGGTTAATCTCGCAGCACGAGTCGAGTTCTGTGACTCGGAGAGTGCTTTACGAAGCTTACAGTGAGGGTTTTCGTGGGAGGAACGTGGCCGGGAAAGTGCCGTTGGGGGTGAGGAAGAAGATCTTGAGGATTGTGGTTACGGGTGGAGCTGGGTTCGTGGGGAGCCACCTTGTGGACCGTCTGATCGCGAGGGGTGATAGCGTGATCGTCGTTGATAATTTCTTTACCGGACGGAAAGAGAATTTAATACAACATTTTGGGAATCCGAGGTTTGAGCTGATCAGACATGATGTTGTGGAACCCATTCTGTTGGAAGTTGATCAAATCTATCACTTGGCTTGCCCTGCTTCCCCTGTTCATTACAAGTTCAATCCTGTCAAGACCATTATATCCTTTTCTTCTTAATTTTTTTCATATACAACATACGTATATCATACATAATTAAACAACACGAATAGAATTTAAAAACCAACTAATTAATTATAAAATATTTTGAGTTATTTGAGTTTTATTTTATAACTTAAATCTTATTTAAAATAATTTCAAACCAAGTCGAATTTATAAAATTACGAACTACATTAAAACGAATAAAAAAATTTAATTTTTTCGAATTAAACTTTATTTACCCTTAGATCCTAAGATAAGACCTATTGGTTTCGAGTGTGGTGTAATTTGGCATCCTTGATTGTTGGGACGGATCCACAAGACGAATGTGGTGGGAACGTTGAACATGCTAGGGCTTGCAAAAAGAGTTGGTGCCCGTTTCTTGCTAACCAGCACCAGTGAGGTCTATGGTGATCCTTTGCAGCATCCCCAGGTTGAGACCTATTGGGGCAATGTCAATCCCATTGGTTAGTTCATTCTCACGCGAAAAAAAAAATCGAAATCCGAAATAACTCGAAAAAAATGTTTAACACGTTTCAATACGTCGATAGGTGTGCGGAGTTGCTACGACGAGGGCAAACGGACTGCAGAGACCTTGACCATGGACTACCATAGAAGCCTTGGCATTGAGGTTTGTATCATATTCTTTGAAACCCAGATTCGAATTCGAGTGTAAGAACCGGAACGACATAAACTATTCAACTTGATCCGACAGGTGAGAATTGCTCGGATTTTCAACACGTACGGTCCGCGAATGTGCATCGATGATGGTCGGGTTGTCAGCAACTTTGTAGCCCAAGCATTGAGGAAGGAACCGATGACTGTCTACGGTGATGGAAAGCAAACCAGGAGTTTCCAATATGTTTCAGACCTAGTAAACGAGCTTGTCTCACATAACATTTACCGTGCCCTAAATTTCTTCATCTAATTTACTTACAGTATAATACATCTCATAATTATTTACATGCTAGGTGGAGGGTCTAATACGGTTGATGGAAGGTGAGCACGTAGGTCCTTTCAATCTCGGAAACCCCGGCGAATTCACCATGCTCGAACTCGCCGAGGTAAGGAAAAAAACCCGACTGACAGATTACTTTGTGTCGGACCTATACCGGGACAACTCCGCTAAGGGTAGTTTGATATTGTCGATGCAGGTGGTACAAGAAGCAATAGACCCGAATGCAAAGATAGAATTCAGACCGAACACAGAAGACGATCCACACAAGAGGAAACCGGACATTTCAAAGGCCAAACAGCTTCTTGGTTGGGAACCCACCATTTCCCTACGCAAGGGACTTCCATTAATGGTGAATGATTTCAGGCAAAGAATCTTCGGTAACTCAAAGACAGTTCTTGTCGGAGGTGGTGCAACGGCTTAATAACCGTACTTATAAGTTATCATTACATTATCATTAGATAAAACATTTTTGGATTTTTAGTTTATATTATATTTTACTCGTCAGTCTTATGTATGGACATGAGAGTACGTTTATAAGTTTATGAGTCGAGTTTTCGTCAATTCGACTAGACTGAAAAAGTTTATATTCTTTATCCAAATTCGACTCGATCCGAGTTTAGAGAGGTCTTGCTCAATCTAAAATTGACTTGAATTTTAGGGTAAAAATTTACATATGATCTAATTCGACATGAATATATATTTTTTATTTGGTAAAGTAGGGACCTAATTAAAAACAATATATTGAGAAGAGTATTATGACAATTACTCTTAAATATACATAAAAAAATTATACTTCGGGTCAAGTTGAAGATATTTTTACCATAAATCTTAAATCTAATTTTTTAAATATGACTATATTAAAGAGACTCGAGTCAAAACCCGTCAGATTCATATTACATTAACATAGTATATTAATCTAAAAAAAGTTGGAGGTGTCCAAGTCATGAAAAGTTGATACCATGGCAGGTAAAGGGGAGCCATACATGATGATGTTAAGACCACAGCCCATGAACCCTATTGCTCCAATCCGAGTTTCCCCTTCCAATGCAAACTGAGTGACAACAATGGCGGCTGCAAGAAAACCCACATCCACTATCCCTACCAAAATCCCCGTCTTAACCTACACCACAAGAAAGTACAACAAAACTAAAACTTGTCCAAGATCAGGGTTTGTCCTCTCAAGTTAATTCCAATCACCCTCGTGTTTTTTGGAGCATAAAGGAGGAACAGAACGGCATAAACAGCTTCGACGAAGACGCCGAAGCCGTTAACGGTGGCGACAAGGACTCCTCCGGGCTTAGTGATTCCGTAGTGGTTTCGACTTAAAAAGTAGTGGTTGATAGGCCTATGTGTATAATATACGTAACCAAAATAAAATAAATGGTGCATAGCTGTTGCAACTTGCAAAGTATACAAGGTAATGGAAAGTACAAATGATTTATTTGGATTAATTATCGGTATTTAATCTATTAACTAATTGATCAAATGAAATATCATAGAGATTTATTATAAATGTGATTTTTTTTCAAATTTAATCTACTTCATTTATAGTATCAAGATTCAATTTTTTGAAAATTAGAAAATATGTTTAATTAAAATGAATAAAATTTTGAATTAAAAAATAAAATAATAAAAATTATATTTGATATCTAATTTTTTTAAATAGAGACGAACAAATAATTATTAAATAACTAAATTAAAATATAATTATTAAAAAATCATTACATAAATTAACATGTGATAAGAAATTTCATAACATAAAAATTATTTTATTTTATAATAAGAATATAATGTTAATACATATTAGACATCAATTAAATTAAAAAAAAGTACACAAAAAATATTATTGTAAGCAAGAAAACATAAAATATTTTTACATAAAATATTTGTGTCATTAAAATTATATATATATATATTGGTATTTAAGTCCCTCAAAGATAAAAATATATTTAATTGTTTAACCAACATAATCAATCTGTCGCGACGTTTACATGACAGTTCACAAAGCTTACATGATAATCTACAATATTGATATGATATTTTACGATGTTTATGTGGCAGTACACAATGAAAGATTTTGTAATAGATGAACTTAATTGATATTGTTTAAATTTAAAATATAAACAATTATTAAGGATATTTAATACATTAAATATAAAAATACAATAAAATTAAATTATTAAAAAATCAGTTTAAGGACCATATTGAGTATAAAAAGTTTAGGTACCATTTTAATTTTTTATAAAAGTTTGAGGGTTTTACATATAGTTAAATTTAAAAATTATCGTTAGAAGGATTTGATCTCGTGTAAACTAAATTAAAAATCCAGATCTCGTGTTTTTTTTATTTTCAATTCTTCAAAATAATTTTAATGAAAATACTGAAAACATATTTTTTATGTTTTCATATTTTCACTTATTTTTTTTTTCAAAAATCATTTTCTAATTTTATAATCAAACACATTTTCTTTTAACGTTTTCTATTTTTTATAAAAATGAAAATAGCTTATAGTCTCTAGAATCAAACATATCTTTAATGTTTCACAAAGTTGTATTTGAGCCTGGGCAGGAGTGGCAAGGCACCTGCTCATTGCCCAAATTGCGAAATCTTCATAATTAAGTAAAGAGTAAATTATTTATTTAGTCACTCATCTATTACTTTATTTTTGTTTTAGTCATTCAATAACTATTATTTTTGTTTTGGTTAAATTTCCACATAATTATTATTTTATTATTTTTTGACAATATTGAGATGACTGAAATCGAACCATGATCATCTTAAAAGAGGATATGTTTGTTTTGTGTGAGCAGTTGATTGTCTAATAAAATTTCTTAATGTTTTGGCATAATGTCAAAAAATGTCTAATGTTTGACTAAACATTCACATTGGTCCCTATTCTTTTTTGGAACATTTTAGCCTCCAATATTTCATGTTGGGGGCAAAAAAAAGGTCATATGTGAATGAGAACTATTAATTAACAGATGTTTAATGCTCCAAATAGGGGCCTTTTACCCTAAAAGGAAATGTTAAGGGTTAAAATGATCTCAAAAAAATAAGGGCCAAAGTGACTATTTAGTCAAACGTTAGATATATTTTTAAACTAAAATAAAATGTTAGTGGGGTAAAATACTCCCAAAAAAAACAAGGGCTAAAATGGTCATTTTATTAAATGTTGGAAGGTAATTTTGATATTATGTATAATATTTTTTATTTAAAATTTGATATATTTATTAGATATGTTATTAATCGTAATAAAAATACAATTTACAAACAAATTATTTTACTTTAACTTAATCTTATAATTCAATTTATTTTTAATACTTGTAATTAAAGACCCAAATTTTCTATTCGTCTCTAAACTACTAAAATCTCAAAAACGAAACTGACGTTTCTTCTTATTAAGCCAACTTGTTGTTAGTATAAAACACTAAAAAGGCACATTTACGAAAATAGTGTTAAACTTTTTTTTTTATGTAGGGTGTAAAGAAGATTATTTTTTCAACTAAGATGTTTGTTATAGTACTCATTAAAAGTCGTTTGGATTACACAACTATTTCTACTATGTGTAATCCAAATTTTGTCTAATAAAAATGATTTAAGCACTTAATTAAGAATAATTTAAAGACGACATAAAAATATAAATGTGTAAAGATTTATATAAAATAAATTATTAATTTGTTTTAAACTATAATTTAACACTAACATGTTCACAAACATGTTCGTTTAACGTTTGTTTATATGTTCATTTATATGCTCGTGAATGTTCGTTTGCAAGCTAAAATGGTAAAATTAGGCCACTAGTGCTTATACTCCTTAAGCTTTATAGTTTAATTTAGTTCCTACAATCACCAATATTTAAAAGAGAAAATCGCCTCAGTGACCAAAAAAAAAGTTATAATATACGATTTTAACCAACTTTTTTTGGATTTGCCAAAATGACCAACAAAATCGCAACGCGAAATAAAAATCGCAACGCGATCCCCAGAATCGCAAATCAGTTTCCAGAATCGCAAATCAGTTTCCAAAATCGCAACGCGATTCTTGAAAATCGCGATGCGATAGTACAAATTCGCATTGCGATTTTCCATAATCGCAACGCGAATATGAAAATCGCAACGCGAACACATAAATCGCAACGCGTATCCGTAAATCGCAACGTGTATCCGTAAATCGCAACGCGTATGGGTAAATCGCAATGCGTATCCGTATATCGCAACGCGTATCCGTAAATCGCAACGATAATACATAAAATCGCAACGCGTATCCGTAAATCGCAACGCGATATTTAAAGCGCCATTATAATCGCTACGTGTATTTTATTTTCAAATTACAAAAAGAATATTAAGACAAAATCCCGTAATCGCAACTCATAACCTAAAACCTAAAATCACAACTCAGTCCCATCTCCATCTCTCACTCTCTACGGCGAAGAAATTCGTCCCCATCTCCGGCGAAATCCCTCACAACCATTCACGGTCAGAAATCCCTCACAATATTCAGAAATGGAAAATCAACCTCCGAGGGTTAGTTTTTTTAATTATTTTTATTTTGAAATGTTTGCATTATTGTAGGTTTTTCATATTGAAACTGATGATAAGTTTACTGGTCATTTCAATAATAGATTAACCATTTCACTTAGATTTCATTTCGCGTTACGATTCTGTCGTTGCGATTTTCATTTCGCGTTGCTATTCTCTCGTTGCGATTTTCAAGTTAGTATTTGTCTTTGTCTTTGTTCTGTCTTTTGGTTGAAGTAATGCAATCCATTCAAGTTTCAATTTGCAGAAGAGTCGCAACGAGATAAATGAAAATCGCAACGAGAGAATGACTGTCGCAACGAGAGAATCGCAACGCGAAATGAAAATCGCAACGAGAGAATCGCAACGCGAAACCAAAATCGCATTGCGATTTTCATTTCGCGTTGCGATTCTCTCGTTGCGATTTTCATTTCGCGTTGCGATTCTCTCGTTGCGATTGTCATCTCGCGTTGCGATTCTCTCGTTGCGATTTTCATTTCAACCAAAAGACAAAACAGTGTTGCAAATTTTAGTTTCAAGAATAAACTGCTACTTTTATGTTTATTGTTTTTGGTATATCTTCACAGTGTAGTTTTTGGTATATCTAACTTGGTATGTTTATTGTTTTTGTAGAAATTTTTTTCGGCTCAATTGACCTTGAGAAATAAAGTCAGCCTGGCCACTACAATTGCAAAGAAGCTTTCACCTGCTCAAAGACAATTGTTTGAGGAAACCTGCTTCGGGCCATGGCTGAGAGTACAGCATCCGGGTGGAGATGCTAATTTGACCCATTTGTGGCTTCAGACCATGACATCAAATCTACCCGACAGTATACAACGTGGTGAGGAAGAGATATGGTTTCATTTTCCACCAGCGTATACTTGCTTTGGGCGGAAGGAGTTCT